ATGACAATGATACGACTTATTCAAGTAATTTTTATAAACAATTTAAGAAATATTCTTGAACACTTATTTTTAGAATGAATACTTTATCCTTTGTATATTGAAAATTTATTTTGCCATTACGTTAATTTGTCATATTTTAAATGATTCTACAATTTACTTTCTTTTTGTTTCTTTTTTTAAAAATTTCAAATATGAAAATTAATTTTTGTTGACAGAATCAACACAGTGTTTACCATATGTACGTACGGCAACGTCACCTCGAGAGAACTGTTCACTCGGTCCTCGGGAGCAAGTTAATCAAGCGACATCTTATCTGGATGCCAGTCATATATATGGTAGTACCGTGGAACATGCTAGTAAACTTCGCTCATATCAAAATGGTTTGTTGTAATTAATTGCTTAACATTTTAATTATGTTTTAATCATATTCTTCATTAAAATGGACTGTCGAAATTTTTGACAAAATCGTTGTTTTTTTTTTCGAGATACACAAGAAAAATCTTCTCGTCATTTAATTATACAAGTTAAATGTTTAAAATTAAAGCTTATTTTTAAAGCGAGGTTGATCATCATAAGCATACTTAAATATATAAATAGATATCAGCAATGAGTGTTTACAGGAATAATTTTTGGATGGAAAAATTGTAAAAATAGAAAAATTTGCAAAATTATCTTAAAATGAAAAAATTGAAATAATATTTGCAGGTTTTTTATCAACACAGGAAAATTCGCAATACAAAACTTTATTAGCACATACAAATGATGGTACCTGTAGAAGTAATCAAAGCTCACAGCGATGTTTCTTGTCGGGTGGTAAATTTACAAATTTATTTCCGTCACAAACTGCATTGCATACGATTTGGTTACGTCAGCATAATAATATTGCTAAACAATTAAAAGTTAGCTATATTTTATAAAAAGAAAAAAAAAACTGAAGTATGCAAAATAATTAGTAATTTTAATGAATGATAAATTGATTTGAAATTGATCAACAAAAATATCTCCATTTAATCATTTTATTTTTAATTTCAATTTCTAGTATAAGTTTAAATTTTAATTCGAAGTAAAATATTTTTCATCATTTTTTGCTTTTTTTTTGCTTCTTGTTCGTAAATTTTAGGCAATAAATGCTGATTGGGACGATGAGAAATTATTTCAAGAGTCACGTCGAATTGTTATTGCTCAAATTCAACATATTACTTACAATGAATTTTTACCAATTATTGTTGGAAAGAATAATTTAAGACAATATGGAATTAAATTACGACCTAATGACTATGATAGTGATTATGATTTGGTAAAAAAATTAAATCTGAGGATTTATTAAAAAAAAAAACTTTTCAAATCTATAAAACAATTTCGTTCGATTTTTTTCAATCAATTTTAAATCATCATATGATACATTTTTGATTGCAGATAATGTTTGAAAATGAGTTATTGATTAATTATATTTATAGAAAATAGATGCAACAGCGCTAAATGAATATGCATCTGCGGTTGGATTATTCTATTATTCATTATTCTCTGATCTGGTATTTCTTTATGAGAATAGTGAAGGTGATCGGAAAACCGAAAAATCCTGGAGTGCTCTCCTCAATGATCCAGGATTACTTTATAGCGGCAAAATGGATACCATTCTAAGGTATTAATCAAAGTTGCAAGTTAATAAATTTAAGTTTTACCACTAGTAAAATCATAAATTATAGGATTAAACAGTCATTTATCAACTGAAAAAAAATAAGCTTATTATCAGCGATAAACCTAACTTATGATATGTTATCATCATAATCATACTTTTCTCATCAGTGAATTATTATTATTATTATCATACTTTTCTCATCAGTAAATTATTATTATTATCATACTTTTCTCATCAGTGAATTACTATTATTATTTTTTTATCATTAAAATTTGCAGCAAAAATTAATGTTCAATATATTATTCAATGGTATATTAATCCCAATAAAATTTTGCTAATTTTTGCAGATTTTTACTACGTGAAACAATCCGTAAACCTGGATTACATATGAATAAATATTTTAAAAATGAATTCCTTCGTGGTAAAGGAAATTATGGACTTGATTTAGCAGCAATAATCATACAAATGGGTCGAGATCATGGAATTCCGGGATATACTGCATTTCGAAGTGCTTGTGGTCTTCGACGACCAACTAATTTTACCGATTTGGATGATATGGTAATTCTGTTCAAATCTCTTAAAATTCTTTTTTTTTGTTAAAAAAAAAGTCATTATACTTAATCAAAATTTACATTGCTAAGATTAGTATTTAAAATGATTGAATGAAACTATTTGCAAATTAATTTAATTTTTTGTATTTCGAAAATTATTAGATACTAAAATATAATCTTATAACAAAAAAAGAAAAAAGAATGATTCTACATTATTAAAGCAAATTTTACATTAATTAATTAACTATTTTAAGTGTAGGTGTTAAAATCGCTTAATTTGGATGAACTAGCTAAATTATACGATCACATCGATGATGTCGATTTATTTGTCCTTGGTATGGCTGAGAAGCCAGAACTTGGTGCGTTAGTTGGGCCAACATTTTCATGTATCATTGGTAGACAATTCCAAAAGGTTCGTCCGCATTTAATTTTCCTTCTTTTTTTTGAATCAGTAAAAGAATTTGCAAATCATAATAATTGAAGTGATAAAAAAAGTAAAATTAAATTAATTGCTTGTCAATGTTTAGCGATTAAATTTTGAATCATCATTAATTCTTCTCATTCTAAATTCTAATTTTAGTCATCAAATTTTATGCATCTTTTTTAACTGATTTAAATAAAATTTAGGACGTTAACTAACTTTACTTGGTTTATATAAAGACTAAATTAGTTTCTTCTTTGAATTTTTAAGTTAATGCTCATAAAAGATTTGATAATATTAAAATAGAAAGGAAAAAATAAGAGAAGAACATTTTTTTGATAAACAAAGAAAAATATCAAGCATTTTGTTTTTTTTATAATTCAGTTATCATAATATGAAAGTGGTTAGAAAAAATTAAGAGCAGAAAAGGATAAGTGATAATAACTTCAAATTGGTTAAATTGCAATGTTTTTTATTTTAATTTTTTTTTTCAAACTTATAATTTTGTTAAGATTCGTAGAGGTGATCGCTTTTGGTATGAAAATTTTTTTGCACCATCAGCGTTTACATTGGAACAATTGGGAGAAATTCGAAAAACAACATTAGCACGGATAATATGTGATAATTCTGATAGCATTGAACAAATTCAACCATATGTTTTCACACTTGCTGATAATTATGGGTAAT